ATGATCTTGTTCAACAGCATGGAAACTGGTTTGCTCATTGCAGACAAACAATAAATAATTATACTCCAGTAAAGACCATTTCAAATATTAAACACCTGCCCCCTAATCCCTTTACTTAAAATACTAATTATCTTCTGTTCTTGCTTATGTAATCTTGCCAGTTGCCATGGTTTCAGAGATTTAAAGAAAGATTTAACAGAACGTGTCTGATTATCAAAGACTTGCCCAGATTCTGCTTACGTTAATGCAATCTAAGAGATTAAGTGAATTTGTTTGAGGATCAGAAGGCAAACCCGTAAGTTAGTTTGCTTCTGTTTTTGTCAAAAATACATACTATTGTCAGCACCACCAATTAGAATTCAATAAGTATTTAAAGATACCTTCAAGAGATATTTTATATCAATCTTATCTCATTTTAAGATAAGGATTTAAGAATGATCCTCACGTGTCCAGACAACTTACAAAAACACTCATTATGTTAAGCTCAAAGATGTATAATTGAGTACATCTCTTCGTGAAAAATGAGCGGGTTGGATATATGAGAGTTAGACAAGCATTTGAGTTTTATTATTTTCTCTCTGTAAACAAAGCATTTCTCTATTTTTGTACGCCGTATAGACAATATCAGAAAAATAGCTAAAGAATAATAAAATAACAGTGGATGTAGGATTCGCTTTAAGTATCTAAACCAGTATAAAAATCTCTTTCGTCAATCTTTTATTTATGTTTCATCAAACATATATCATCTCAGTACCATAAACACTTCTCGTGAATCATTCGCGTGTAATTTCTAAGAACAGCTTAATACTTTATACGTACGAGTCATTGGTGTCAAAATCAGATACCATTAACAACTTCCATAGTCAACTGATAATAACAATAAATTATGAATTGAAGATGAAGAAATTTGATCTTTAGAGTTGTTAAAGAGATAAGTAGTTTGGTAAGAGTAGTGGCAAACTGCAGTGATGTACGCAAAACGACATTGCTTCAGCTGGGGCCAAGTATCGTTTTGGGAGAATTGAATTGGTGGTATTAGTCATATTTTTCTTGTTATGAACGTGACCTATTAGAATTTGATTGTCCCACATTAGGTGCGACTTCATATAGTATATTTCAATTTTTTTTTTTTCAAAAAAAATTCAGACAAAATTCTCAAAAAAAGCTGCTACGAATTTATAATTAATTAATATTTTTTACTTACCAACCGACCAGTAGGTTATACGAATTCAATGAATTCGTATGCTCATACTATAGTAAGACACGTCGTTTATTTACCTTAAGCGTCATTAAGCTTTGATTTCCAACATTAATTGATTTTAAATGACGCCTTAATTATGTCTTGATTAAATCAGCTTACATTAGTAATACATAATAAGAAGATATTTGAGTGAATTATATTTAATATAAAAGTACTTTTTATTCACTCTATACAGGATATCTGAACCAGTTTATGCGTATCTGGACCGATCTCTGATTCATTGAACACCCTACAAACTCAATAAGTTAGATGAGTCACAAATATGATAAGTGACTATTTTGTGAGATTTGAACACAAGACGTTTAGGTAATCCACCAGAAGTTAAAGTCTTGACATTCTGTCACAAGCCAAGTGTTTATTTTGCATGATTTTTTTTATTTTAGGATCGCAGATATTCAGACCAGCTTACGTGTATATCAACTAATCTCCATAACTTTGGAATTATCGATCGAGTAAGACCACCAGTTGCCACTCTTATTAACAACCGAGAAAGAACTCAAACTCAGAACCTTTTGAATAATACACTCAAGATTCTCGGTATACCCAACCCTTCCCTTGAGACAAATCTAGATATCNCAGTTTATGCATATCTCAACTGATTTTTGATTCATTGAATACCATACAAACCCAATAAGTTAGATAAGTCACAAATATGGTAAGTGACCATTTTATGAGATTTGAACATAAGACGTTTAGGTAATCCACCAGAAGTTAAAGTCTTGACATTTTGTCACAAGCCAAGTATTTATTTTGCATGATTTTTTTTTTTTTTTAGGATCACAGGTGTCCAAACCAGCTTACGTATATCTCAATTAATCTCCATAACTTTAGAATTATCGATCGAGTAAGACCACCAATGACCACTCTTATTAACAACTGAGAAAGAACTCAAAGTCAGAACCTTTTAAGTAATTCACTCAAGATTCTCGGTACACCCAACTCTTCCCTTGAGACAAAACTTGATATCAAATTTCAATTTCAATTTAAAAACTTTATATATATATATATAGGATAAATTGTTGGCTATGTATTGAAACAAGAGTAATGTTACAGCCAACGACGGTAGTACACCAAATTTATGTACCGAATGACATGACAAAATCTTGACCGTTGATTGATATTAAGTTAAAATTAATCAACGGTCAGAATTTTGTTACGTCATTCGATGCACAAATTCAATGTACTACTTTCGGTGGCTGTATTATTTTCCTTAAAACAAAATTCATTCATGATAGATCCAATGTTATACGTGGCAGCTTGAGACAGCACCCAACTTTCAGTCTTCAGATGGACGACTCTGATTCTCTTACATCATGCTGACGTGGTGTAACTTGTTGGCATTCTGTCTAATTTTATATTTTAATAGTATTTTTCTTGATTAATATTCATTACGTGGCCCAAAACGACAGTATAGTTGATCGTTTGGATATAAAGAGAGGGCAACTAGAAACCGTCACGTGGCGGTTACCTTAACAGAAAAAACAGGCATTGTATGTTTGAACCAATGAAGATATGTAGGTGGCAGCCATTTAAGAAAGGGTTGACCAATGGGGCGCGTTTGAGCTAGAAAAAAATGTGAAACAATAAGTTTGGACTGCCTACGTTAAGGAAAGAAAAGAAAGCGTATATGGTTTACCAACTTGTGTACAAATAAGGACTTTATGTTATAATGATAATGTGAAATTCATTCACATCGTAGTTCTTAGCGGATAAACCTAATTTACATTTAATAGTACATTATCCCAATAAGGTCTCATCCATACTTGTTCATTTTACCTCTCTCAACTTAGATCCCATGCGGTGGCCCTTGAAAAGTTTTTGTATACGTAGTAGGGATTTGTAGATCCTCTGGACGTAAAGCGCGCAAGGCTTTGAACCCAAATACGCACACTATCCGCACTGGAAGTAAACATGATAGTTAAGGGTGTTAAAAAATATAACAAAAATCGAACCGAACTGATAACCGAAAAAACGGTTCGGTTACTTTTCCGGTTTGGTTATGGTTCAAAAAATTCAAAAAACCGAATTTTCGGGTCGGGAAAAAATAAAAAATGGTTAACCGAAATCGGTTTTTTAAACTGGTAACATTCAAGGCTAGTAGTACACCCATCGGTCCACATAGTTGTTCATGTATCAGTAGAAGATTTCGCGGCTACTACAAGCAACCTTTGCTTCCTCGGGTGGAACTCCAGGATGAGTCTAAAGTCGAACCAATATTGCTACTTTCATGTCACATATGTTCACATGATATGAATATATACACAACCATGGTTACCAAATTGAACTTGAATTCGTGTTGCTTAGGCTCATGTAATATTACCTTAAATGGTAAGAGCTCGAAGGGACTACATTTAGCAATGGCCCCCAACCGGAATTACTAGTCGTGGTTATCATAATTAATGACCCATTTAACTGATAAGTGAACGTAATCTTCAGTTCATTTCTTGTTTGCCACTATAGTAAAGTTAGTGCTTTGATGTTCAATCAGTCAGCTAGATAATATGATAACCTTCTGGCAAATCGAAGCTAGGACAGGTAGTGAATTAGATTGTGCTTAATTCAATAAGCCAATTAGTTGATTTGAATGGGAATATGGGATCATTATCAACTCCATCTAATAATTAGCATCAAGAACGTTATCTTAATCTTAATCTTAATCTTAAACAGTCAGGGTGGTCGGGTGACAGGGACTATTATTAGGTATATTATTCGAGAGGTCTTGAGTTTGATTATCCTCGATTGCTAATAAGGATGGTTATTAGACTTTAGGACTCAAAAGACTAGTAGAAGTATACGCAAGCTAACATGAACACTCCTGGTCACAAAAAAAAAAAAAAAAAAAAATCTAATGAAAAATAATTAGCAATTAAGTGATTGTCTTAATCTTAGAAATAATCCATAAATCAAAAGGTATAAATATATCTAAACGGTTGAGTGAACATCATGGTTTTAAAATCCGGACTGAACTAGTCGAGAATTGATCCCTAATCCAATCCATCGAATGGCTAAAACTGGTTTTAGTCATTCGACTAGATTCATCCAAGGTTGAATCAACGAGAACAGTATCAAACCGCAGTTCAACCGTCAAGTCAAATAATGGGTTGAAGCGGAATGTCCGTTCTAAGAGAATAAACAGCTATTCATTTGTCCTTCAGGTCGTTCCAAGCAAGAACAACTCTCTTCTCTTAAATCGTTCATCATTTTACCTAAATAAAGAAAAGTTTTAAAATTTTATTACAGCATGCATATTGACATCACCGGTTCAACCCATTGGTTAAACTGTCCAACCCGAGGATCGGTCCGTGTCCGGGTCAAAGCCCGGTTCAGGTATAAAAACGTTGGTAAACATACGTATAATGATTGTTCATAACCAGTAAGAAAAATTATGAAGAAACAGACGTGGCACCGTGGTGCTTTTGGGTTTTGACTTTTGACAATTCAAAGAGTCAAACATCTGATCTGACAAAACCGGCACATGCAATAATTCAACTCTTCAGTTAAAGCATATTTCCCAATTTAACGTGTAAAGCTCTAACGCCGCAAAATCTCTGTTATCTATTACACTAGAATATATTTTCCGTTTCTTACCGGTACCTCCCGGTCACCTTGCTGTTGTTGTAACGATTACGTATCATCCCAGCACGTGTCAAAAACCCACCGTCTTTCTCACCCACCACTGTTCATTCTTCTCTATTTATATATACCCCTTTACGCTCCATCAATCTTTCGAATTCCTGTCAACAAACAACTTCTCTCTCCTCCCTTACATTTCTCGTCAAATTCTCTCCCATTTTCCTCGCCGGAAAGTTTTGGTTTTTTCCTGTTTCGTTTTCTTGAATAAATATATTGAAGTGATGACGAAAGAGCGAGGTGGAGCGGTGGTTGCGGAGCGGAGCAATCTCCACAGACCAAAGTTCGGCTCTTTCTTGAACGCAGATTCGATTGCGGTATTCAACAGTCACCAGTTCGACGACTACTCTTCGAATTATCGTAAAAGCAGTGCTTCTGCGACGAGTCCCAGATGCTATACGAATTATAGCAGTACGCCTACACCGACAAGCGGCGAAGCTTCTCCTTATCTAATGTCTCCCTGGAATCAAACAGCGTCTCCTTACACCAAATCTCCCTGGATTGCCCCTTCTTTTAAGGAGAACCTGAACTGCAATGGTCTGATTGGCTCCATTGTGCGTGAAGCAGGTCATATATATTCGTTAGCGGCTTATAGAGATTTATTATACACAGGTTCGGATAGCAAGAACATAAGAGTTTGGAAGAATCTGAAGGAGTTTTCAGGATTTAAATCAAACAGTGGTTTGGTTAAAGCCATTGTTATAGCCGGCGACAAGATTTTTACAGGTCATCAAGACGGCAAAATCCGAGTGTGGAAGATTTCAAGCAAAAACCCCAGCGTCCACAAAAGAATCGGTAGTTTACCAACTTTTAAAGACTATGTCAAATGCTCAGTTAACCCGAGGAACTACGTCGAAGTTCGACGGAACAGAAACGTTCTCAGAATCAAACACTTCGATGCAGTTTCGTGTTTGAGCTTAAACGAAGAACAAGGATTGTTATACTCAGGCTCCTGGGATAAAACCCTCAAAGTGTGGCGAATCTCAGACTTTAAATGTTTAGAATCAATCCAAGCCCACGACGATGCCATTAACTCCGTTGTTGCGGGCTTCGATTGTTTCGTCTTCACAGGGTCGGCTGACGGAACTGTCAAAATGTGGAGACGAGAGCTACAAGGGAAAGGAACGCAGCATTTTCTGGTTCAGGTTTTGTTAAAACAAGAGAATGCAGTGACGGCCCTGGCGGTCAATGAAGAATCGGCTGTGCTCTATTGTGGATCGTCGGATGGGCTGGTAAATTTCTGGGAACGTGAAAAGCATTTGTCTCACGGTGGGGTCCTCCGGGGCCACAAACTGGCCGTGCTGTGCCTGGCCACGGCTGGCAATTTGGTGTTCAGTGGCTCGGCTGATAAGAATATCTGCGTGTGGAGAAGGGAAGAGAGCGGGGCCCACTCTTGCTTAGCTGTCTTGTCGGGCCACACCGGGCCAGTCAAATGTGTAGCCGTCGAGGAAGATCATGATCGTGAGAACAAGGAAGATCAACGGTGGATAGTTTACAGTGGGAGCCTGGATAAGGCAGTTAAAGTCTGGCGCGTGTCGGAGCACGCTCCTGAGTTAAAGGGGTTTATCTCACCGACCCCGGAGAACGGATTCACTCAAAGTTAAAAGAGAATGAAAAGGCGAGGCGAGGTGAATAGGACGTGAAGAGCACGCGGAGTCACACAGAGTGTCACGTGGAGAGGTCCCCACGTAGGCAATTCCGCAATTGCAGTGGAAGAGGGTAACAGTAAGAGCGAGCGGTCCTTTGAGCATCTGATAAAACCCTGGCCTCGAAGGAAAAGCACTGTTGTGGACGGCACCACAGAATCCATTAGTCAATAGAAGTATGCCACGTCATGAACTGTCTGTGTACATTGTGGGATTATTTTATTTTTGTTTTTTTTTCTTCCAAATATGGGAAATTGTCAAGAATTTTTTTTTTTTTTTTTTAATCTAACAAAGGCGTACATCAAAATGTGTAATTATTGTAAAAATTTATATTAATCAACTTTGAGTATTATTTTCATAAGCTCTACTTAAATAAATTATACCACAGGCAGGGGCGTAATCAGGATTTCTAGTCAGTGGTGAGGTCAAAAGATCTAATTTGATAAATTTATAATAAAATATATATTGAAATAATAAGTATAAAAAAATGTAATCTAAAATTTTAATTTTAAAAGTTATATATGCCAAATTATCAATTTTATAATTGTTCTCAATTATTTTTTATATTCTGAAAACGTTGCATAATTACTTCATTGATAATGCCATCAAATATCCTCTATCAATATATGTAATAAAACAATTATTTAAGATTTCGTAGTCGATTTTTTACAATCTTTCATCACAGAAATGCTCTTTCAACATACATAAAATGATAAAAACAACCTAGGGTAACATAAATCATGATTTTTCATCAATTAAAAAAGACATAAATTTTTTTTTTTAAGCAAAATAATAAAAAATGAGCATCATCTTACCTTATGACATCCACCCAAATGAAGAGAAAAGTATGAGAGAAGAGGAGAGGAATTGAGGAAGAGAGAAAACATGAAAAAAGAAAAAAAAATTAGTATCTTCGAATCCCGAAATCAATAAAATATGAAAATGTCTTAATGAAATCAATAAAATATGAGTAATTTTAGTGGAATCAAAATTATTATAAAATATATACCTATTTTCAATAATTTTTGAATTTGAGTGGGGTCAAGTGACCCTATTGAGTATACTTCGGATACGCCCTTGACCACACGTAGCCTTAGAAATTGTGGTGATCTTGCAAAATTGATGTCAAATATATGCATGAAGTGGACAATTCATTATGTTAAAATGAACGAATAGGCTTCCTCATTCGAACATTAATTTCACATAGATTTGACATCAATTTTGCAAGATCACCACAATTTCTAAGGCTACGTGTGGTCAAGGGCGTATCCGAAGTATACTTAATAGGGTCACTTGACGCCACTCAAATTCGGAAATTATTGAAAATAGGTATATATTTTATAATAATTAATCATTTTGATCACATTAAAATTACTCATATTTTATTGACTTCACTAAGATATTTTTCATATTTTATTGATTTCGAGATAGAAGATATTGATTTTTATTTTATTTTTTCATGTTTTCTCTATTCATCTCCTCTTCTCTCGTATAATGTGAATCATGTATCCTATAATACACCCATTATTTTGCTGGCAAAATGGATTCAAGTTGGGTTAATTTATTGTCTATGAATCGGGGGAAAATTTAAATATCCAGCAATGAGTTGTATAAAGTTAATTGTTTTTAATAATCTTTGATATGCTTTTTACGATATTATATTATAGGATACATGATATATTTTACATTTCTTGCTGAATTCTAATTGCAATTTGCTTTAAAAAATGAGTACTTTTGTTATAGTATATACGAGTGACTCAATATCACCTAACCCATGGTTTTAAAACCTGGATCGGATCGGCTGGTCTAACTGGGAAAACGATCCCTAATCCGGTCCACTGAATGGCTGAAATCCCATTTTAGCTATTGCATTGGGTTGACCTGGGGTTGAACGGGTGGAAACAATGTTGAACCACGGTTTAACCGCTGGGTCAAAGAATGGGTTGAAGCGGAATGCCCGTTCCAAGAGAATGAATGACTGTTCGTTTGTCCTCCAAGCCATTCTAAGCAAGAATGACCTTGTTTCCTTAAGCCATTCATCATTATGCCCAAATAGAGAAAAGTTTTGAAATTTTATTACGTCATGCTGACATCAACATGATGTCATTGGTCAGTCAGACCGCCCAACTTGGGACTGGCCCCTTGACTGGGTCAAGACCCAGTCCGGGTATGAAAACATTGACCTAACCATAAAGTTTGCTAATTAAAAATTATATGAATATAATATATACAAATAATGGGTATAAAAAATTGATATGATTATGACTTTTTGTCGCCGTATTATTCATCATCCGTAATCAATCACTTCAATATACATTCATTCTAAATCACATTTTGTCAATATTTATACGTGTATTATTATTTACGATATCCCGAACTCAAGAATGTTCCTTGTTCGGACCGCACAGTAAGTAAATGTGAAACATGAAGATAATTTGTTATTCATGACCAATGGACTTACATGATTTGACAAAAATATGATCCATGTGAAATTAATTAAACTTGTTTTTGTTCTACTAAATTATACAAGAATGGAAATTCAAGGTTACTGATCATTGATATTAAAAAATTTGTTATGTGTCTATTTTATCTCGATCCATGATTTAAACAAGTCGTGTACACATTATTGTACATGTTTATCAGCGTTGACAACATTTCAACAAGCAGACGAATTTGAGACAATTGAGATTGGTTGTAATCTTGTATGGGCTTAGGGGATTACAAAGTTTTAAATGGGCCTATTGTGAAGCCCATCTATATACTATGGGCTTTTTATGGCCCATGATCTCTCAGCAAGGTAGAGATGAGATTTTCCTCCAAAACGTTCATGTAGAAAATTGGATGAATGAAGTTCCACCAAAATTTCTACTAAATTTCTCTTTGGGTCACCTTCATGTTTAGATATATAAACAACTACCTATTAACCCATCGGGTAACCTAGATGATTAAAGCGAATTGAGGATACTGTGAATAGATGCACGGTCTCAGATTTGATTCTTTATCTAAGTATCCTCGATTTAAGTGGGGGGCCGTGCTGGTGGATTACTGCATCAGTCTCCTTCGAGGATTAACAAAATAAAAAAAATACCACTTATTTAAAGAAATGATCCAAATTTTTATTTTATAAATCATAATTAATTTCTTATCAAATATTAAATGGTTGTTGGCTTTGTGACAATATTTCTGGTCCAACTTCAAAATATTTTAAAATTACAATCAAAGTTATTTAATTTCATGTTGAATTAGTCCACATGGTAGTTGATAAATTAAGTATTTTTTTTTTTTTTTTTGGGAGTCAACTTGTTTTATTTTTGCCCCCTTATGTAATCCAAGAGAATTCAATTTATTGATGAATAATTTTTTGAAATCCCCTAACGATTACCCTATATCTAATAAACCCCCTTTAGTTTTCTATATGACTCTCGACACTTTACGTTTTGTCAAATGTTAATACTTTATCATCTATTTTGACAATAGATTGGTGAAAGAGTGAATGGAGCCCTGCTCTTCCTTCCCCACCCTAGTTCGAGGCCGTCGTTAGGCAAAAGGCATCAAGGTAATTTATCACAAGTTGATACTTGATAGGGGTAAAAAGAATACTTATCTGTTCATATGGTACTAAAATGTAACTCAAACAAACAAGAAGGGATTGAATGTTATATCCAAAGCTAGAGGGGGTTTATTGATAAAGGCCAATACCTAAGAGGATTTAGATGAATTATCCTTAATTATATTTCTATTAAGATAATCAAATATAATTAATCGTTAATCTGGGGTCCACCACTTCTGCTTCAACTAATTGTACATTTCTGACTGATTTGCCCTTCCTTCACAAATAAACCGCCAAAAGTTTGTTATGTACAAGCAAGAGAAGCGCCAAAACAGTGCTTCGCAATTTAAACGAGACCCACATTTTCTCTTCCTCGCGTGGGTGCTGATCAATTCCTGGCAAGTTCCTGCTTCACGCGTTGACGCAGAAGAACGAGGATGAGTACCCAGTCTTCGTTTCAATTTCAGTCGTTTAGTGGTAAGACAAGAAAATTTTGCATTTCTTTATTTGCGTTTATGCCCCAACAGTCACCGTGTCTTGGTGACTTTCACAGAACCTTCTCTTTCTCTAGTCTACTCTTTGAAACTACCGTCAAATTTACTAGAGTTTGGTTTGGTGTAAGTTTGACCGCCTCTTTTTCTTTCTTTGTTTGCTTCTCTCTATTTTTCTTCAGGGGAACAAAACTAACGAACTATGTTTTGGTTTATGCTGAGAGATTCTTGATTGATATATGTGCCTTTGGCTCTTGGGTTCTTTGAAATAATTGGTTTTGGTTACTGGGTTTATGAGATTAGTGATTTTTGGTTTATGGGTATGTGGAAATAGTTGATTTTTTTTTTGGGTTTGATAGGTTTGCGAATTTGGGGTTCTGGTTTTGAGTTGAGATTTAGGAGATGACTGGGCTTTTGAGAAAAATTATGCCTGTTGTACCATCCAGCAGTAAACATGGTGGTGATGATGATGATGATGATGCTCATAATGTTGAATACTCGTTTGCCATTGAGTACTCTGGTCCTCCGGTTGGTTATGATATTCCACGAGCGGTGCCTATAGCTGTTGATGAAATCCCTGTTGCTGCCCCAGTGGTCTCTTCTTCTTTGTTGAAAGATAGTTCACTGCCAGTAATCCAGCCAATTAAAAAAAGTACTCCTGTAGGTAGAAAACCATCAAGGGAGCCGAAATTAAGCTCTGAGTCATCTATTTCTAGCAGTTCACTGACCGGCTCTGGTGCGTCCTCAACTGGTCCTAATATGTCCCGTGTAGTACCAACTCAGGTGGATAGCAATGGTGCATCTGGACGCTTAACTGGTAATTACTGTAAGGTCAAGTCATCTGAGGGTAGGAGAAGCTCAGGTAGATTGAAAAGTCTTGATAGTCAATTTAATTCTTGTGAAAGTTTGGATTGTGTGATTGGTGTTGAGAGCACACTCAAATTATCTGGTCTAATAGGAGCTTCTGGTAAATTAGAACGTCCTGATTGTCATGATAATATGCATTTAAGTGTAGAATTACCTGATGATAACAGGGGAGAGGCAGATGTAGGATTTCAAGATTATATGAATCCTGGCAATTCAGAATCAACAGGATCAGGTTCAAGTTCACACGCTGTTTCGTCTGAAGCGTTCTCTAGCAAAGAGGAGGATTTGAACGAAGAAGAAACTCCTTGCCATGCTAAAAGACCATCAGTTGTTACTTTTCGTGATCCTGATCCTAGTGATGTAGTTCTTGAAGAATCTGAATATTCTGAGGTCAAAAGCAACCAAGCGAGACCGCAGGCTGAAAGGCCTGGGAAGAAAGGTTCATGCTATCGATGCTTGAAAGGAAATCGATTTATTGAAAAGGAAGTGTGCATTGTCTGTGGTGCAAAGTACTGCTCTAACTGTTTGCTGAGGGCAATGGGGTCAATGCCAGAAGGAAGAAAATGTGTTACTTGCATTGGTTTCAGCATAGATGATGCTAAGAGAGGAACCTTGGGGAAAGCTTCTCGGATGCTGAGGCGGTTGCTGACTGAGATGGAAGTTAAACATATAATGGGATCGGAAATATCATGCCCAGCAAATCAGTTGCCACCAGAGCGTGTTTTTGTGAATGGCAAAGCTCTTTCTGAGGAAAAGCTGCATATATTGCGGAGCTGCCCAAATCCACCGAAAAAGCTAAATCCAGGACACTATTGGTATGATAAAGTATCAGGTTTTTGGGGAAAGGTGAACGTCTAACACTACTACTTATTAGTTATCTTTTCTTAAGTAATTGGAGTTTAACTCTATTGCACCATAATTGATTATTTCTCGCTGATTGAGTAGGTAGGACAGAAACCGTACCAGATTATAAGCCCCCAGCTGAATGTAGGGGGTCAAATCGATCGAAAGGCTAGTAATGGGAATACAGATATCTTGATAAATGATCGGGAGATAACTAAAAAAGAGTTATGGATGCTTAAGGTTGTTTTACTGGACAGAATCATGTTCTTTCAATCCCAACTTTTCAACATTAAGATCCATAACATCTTGTTAAATGTTGCAGTTAGCTAGAGTGCAATGTGAAGGAAAACCTCACTGTTGGTTAAGCGCAGATGGTTCCGTTCAGGAAGAGGGAATGATGCCAAGAAAGGGACATATATGGGACCAGGTATGTTAGCATAATTATTTGATGTGTTTTCTTAATTGTCATATTCCATCTTACTTATCCAATTAGTGACAACTGTGGATGTACTTTACAGGGTACCATAAAGTTAGTTTGTGCTCTCTTGTCTTTGCCAACCCCTCCTGATTCTTTGGATTCTGGTGATGATGAACTGAATGGTGCTAACCCAAGCTGTAAACTTCTTTTGCTTGGTGATACAAAATCTGGCACGAGTACCATATATAAACAGGTAAGACTTCATTGGAAATTTTACGGAATTAACTATCTTACTCTTGTGCTGTTATTCATGTATTATTAATCTGACTCTGGTGAATGTTTGATTGCGAATTTCATATCTATTTATGATATCCTGTATTAGAATTGTGTTGATATTTCCCTGATGCCTTGCCATTTTCTGGGTTTATGATTTTACTAGAATGGTTTATGGAAAACGTTAGATGCTTATAAAAAGTTGTAAAAGCTGACATCTGAATTCACCAAATGAAGAGATTCGTAGCTTCATAGTGGGCAGAATATTTTACCATTGAAATTACTTACAAAGATGACATACTTTTGTTATTTCACTACAACAACTTTTGGAATTCATTATATGAGTTAATTAGCAATGTTTAGGAGTAACAATTAATAGTTTGGTTGCACTTAGATAGGTAGACAAGTGCGTGTTCGTGTCTTTTAATTAGCACTTAGATACTTAGATTTGTACATATGTGACAACTGACATGCATGTTTGTGATAGACAAATCACATTGCTGTTCAGATATATGTTGCTTAAATTGAAATACTGGAAAACCATAAAACTTCATATGCTTTTCTGGACTGTTTTAGGTTTTTGTAGTTGTGATATGGAACAAGCACTTAATTTGTATTGAAAGGAAGCTTAACAGTGATTTGTTAGTGAAATGAACATCGAGTTCTATTCTTTCCAGTGGGCTCAAACTTTGGACTTTGACCATCCTTTTTCTTTTTTATATTCATTTTGTTTTTAGTCATTCATTCGGAATGCTTATTTCAGGCCAAGCTTCTGTTCAAGGTTCCTTTCTCTGAAGATGAGCGTCAAAATATCAAGGGCATGATTCAAAGCAATTTGTATCGCTATATTGGTATTGTGCTTGAGGGTCGTGAGCGATTTGAAGAAGAATGTATGATTGAAAGAAGAAAAAAACTGGTTATTGATCAGCCTGGTCCTTCAGGTAATGTCTTGTAATTTTATTAATTTTCTTTTTCATTAAGCTTGTATGGATAATTATTTTCAATGATATCATCATATCTTGTTTAGAGCGTGCAGATGATACATAAAAATGTGTTAGAATTTGAGGGGGCCTGACTCCTCACCCAATAAGGCCTTATTGGATGAGGATTCAGACCCACCTCAAATTCTATTATGGTATTATAGCCCAGGTTCAGTTGAGCTGAGCGCTTGACCAACGGGTGAAGAGTTAGAGCTAACAACTACCTCTATCAATAGGCATGACCCAACATATGGGCTTGACCGTGAGGGAGAGTGTTAGAGTCTCACACCAACTAAGCACGCTCAAGCCTATTGGGTTATAAGAGGGGATAATCCTCCCATTCAACAAGGTCTTATTGGGTGAGGAGTCAAACCCACCTCAAATTCTATCAAAATGCTTTCCCTAGATACTTGCAATTTAAGATATTTATATCCTTTCTGTTAAAGTATTGAACATATATGATCTCTTTCTTGAAAGTTCTGATCTTTATGATCCATCTCCTGCCTCTTGCATTAAAAGATATTTCATATGATGCTTTCCAAGTTCATGTGCTATTGTATTTCCACCTCATTCATGTGGTATCATAAAATGCTCCAAATTTATAAAACATGGTTAGCTCCTTCTAAACCTTGGTGTGAGTGGGATTTGATAATTAAAAGTTTCACATTAACTTCATCAAANATATTCTCTTTCTTGAAAGTTCTGATCTTTATGATCCATCTCCTGCCTCTTGCATTAAAAGATATTTCATATAATGCTTTCCAAGTTCATGTGCTATTGTATTTCCACCTCATTCATGTGGTACCAAAAAATGCTCCAAATTTGTAAAACATGGTTAGCTCCTTCTAAACCTTGGTGTGAGCAGGATTTGATCATTAAAAGTTTCAGATTAACTTCATCAAACTAAATTTAACTATTTTTAGCGTGGAGAAATTCATATTAGATTTTTTTTTAATCAAATGGATTCTGAATTTATTCATTATGTCATCAATACAGGCCAGATGGATGAAAAAACATTATATTCTATCAGTCCACAACTGAAAGCTTTTTCAGATTGGCTTCTCAAAGTCATGGCGTCTGGTAATTTGGAAGTCATATTCCCAGCGGCTACCTGTGAATATGCACCATTTGTTGAGGAGTTGTCGAAGGATGCAGCCTTCCAAGCCACATACCTCCGGAGGAATGAATTAGACATGCTACCCAGTGTTGCTACTTATTTCCTAGAACGGGTGAGATCTCCCTCTGTGGTCCTTGTCTACTTATTTCAATACAAACAATTGATAGGTTGTGGGGTTTTTTTTTTTTTTTAATCACCAAGTCTCCATGGTCTCTTTGATTTGCTAGTTTGCCATCGATGTTCAATTGCTTCCTGTATAACCATATATAGGTTACAAATATTAATGCACATACTTTCTGTGTTGTGTAGTTAAATTTTGCTGCTTACCAAATATATGTGTATTTTGGTTTCTTAATATTAATTATGTGCTTTAATATCTTACTTTATTTTGAATATATACATGACAATTGTTTGATGAATCTAAAGTGGAAGTTAATCTGAAATAGAAACCTGAACAAGGAGAGATGATTATTGTGACCTGTAATATATTATTTCTATTTTTTAATATTAAAGTTATCTTCCCTCTCAGGCTGTTGAGATTTCAAGGACAACCTATGAACCCTCGGATCTTGATATCTTGTATGCTGAAGGAATTACCTCATCCCATGGGCTGTCTTGCATGGAATTTTTATTTCCAAAGCCACCACATCAGAGCTCCATTGAATCAGAATATCAGAATTATGACTCCTCACTCAGGTTACTCTCTAATCTCTGCACTCAAATTTACTTGTATGAGCAATGAATACTAAATTGATCATCTTTACTTACTATTTCTTGCTTAATAACTGCAGGCATCAACTCATTAGAGTGCATCCAAGAAACCTTGGAGAGAACTGCAAGTGGCTAGAAATGTTTGAAGATGTTGACATTGTCCTGTTTTGTGTTTCTTTGACTGACTATGATGAGTTTTTCGAAGATAAGAATGGAGTTCTGACTAACAAGATGTTGGCCAGCAGACAACTTTTTGAAAAGATTATAACTCATCCAACCTTCAAAGATAAAACCTTCCTTCTATTACTTAACAAGTTTGATATGCTTGAGGAAAAGCTTGAACAGTCTCCTCTCACTAAATGTGAATGGTTCCGCGACTTCAATCCAGTTATCAGCCACAATTACCACAACAGCAGCAGAAGAAATTACAATGCTCCTCGGGCTCAATATGCTTTCCACTACATTGCATTGCAGTTCAAGAGATTGTTCAATTCCCTTACTGATCATAAGTTGTTCGTTTCACTAGTTACCGGCTTGGAGCAAGAGACCGTTGACGAAGCTCTTAGATATGCAAGGGAGATTCTGAATTGGGACGAAGAGCAATGCAACTACACTAACAATGAGTCGTCTTATGACTTTGAGGCAAGCTCACCGTCATGATTTTGTTTCAGTATAAACAAAATGCTTCTAAATCTTACATGCATTAGAAAGATTAGTAGCAGTAGAAGTAAAAGTGTTTGCTTTATTAACTTTCTGGAGCAAATACTTGTGTATAGTGTATACTTATATACACACACGTGGATTCGGAGTTTTGGATACATAAGGAAATACAGAACTGGGATACAAGATGAATGTATCATTCTTGGAAGTTAGATTCTTTTATACATAGAGCTGAATGAAAGCTGTCTGCAATTGCAGATTTAGCAAGTGAAACAATTATCTCACTATTTTTTCTGTCCATTCCATTCCAAATTGCTATAATGCTATCCATTTTTATCACCGGAATAGCATTATACTCACAAAGTTGGGATTATACTCACAAAGTTGGGATCTGAATTATTACAGGGTTGTTGACATGGTTACAGTAAATTAATCCAAAGTTTCTGTTAAAGCAAGAATATTAGGTCATCTCTGACAGCTCCCGAACTCAAAAAGCTCGAAAAACTCAACCAAAACTCGATTAAGATCGAAAAGTTCGACTAAAACTCGATTAAACGAGCTCAAATTCGAGTTTTAGGTACCGAGTTCGAGTTCGAACTTAATTCATCAAGCTCGACCAGGCTCAAACTCAAACTCAATATTGTAGCTACCAAACTCTACTCGAGTCGATTTCACCCCTAATTATTGATGATTTGAATCCAGACAGCTCATTACTAAACACCTTCGTTAGAACTTTTCAATCTGCAGATTTACATGAAATGTAACCTCAGTTAATTATTTGGATAAAAGATTATAATTAACATGAATAAATCCATTATTTATGTAAATGAACATGGTCTGTATTATGATTGAATCAACAGAATCCAGATACAGAAAACACTTGTTGAAAATGTTTAAACTTTTATATTACACATTCATGACTCTTTCTCTAAAAATTAACAAATGAAACTGACAACAAAATATTTACTACACAGAACAGAAGGGTTGATCACCAAGGCACAAATCGGTCCATAAGCAAACACACAGTAGCCTCAGACATTGTAGTTTCTCTTTCAACCACCTTTTTGCTCTCTTTCTCTTCAACTTCTTCTTCTTCTTTCTTCTTCACAAACTGCTGCTCTTTCTTTTGAACTGTTGACGACAGTTGCTTCCTGGCTCTAACTTTCTCTCTCAGCTTTGCAAACTCACCCATCCATGTTTCCACCACTGCTGACATTTTTCCCACTAAAGAATAAAAAAAACCACAAACCCACTTGGAAATTTTGCTCTCTTAATTTCTTTTCACTCTATTTGCTGGAATGAGAATATATGAGAAGGGAAACTAAGAGGGTTTATATAGAAGAAGACAGAGAGGTTTATGTGAATTCTGGAAGCGAAGAGGAAATGGGTTTGACTGAGGACACAAAAATCAACGCGTGGACGCCCCTAGATACTGTTAAAACTTGGTTCAATGTGGTATTATGGTTCTGGATATTCCACTCTTTCCCCAAAGGAATATCTTTTCAGTGACAATGTTCTGGTATAGTTGCTTACACAGTTTATACTCAACAATCAACAACCGACCCTCATTTTCTTTAGTTTTATACACAACATTTTGGTGTTTCTTATTTATTTAGCTTTTTGTTAGACGAGATGTTTGTATTAGTTTATACGCACTTCAATTATTCTTTAGGGAAAGTCATCCCATACTCAAGGGTGAATGTAGTACTAGTTGATCCACTCTCAAATTTAAAAAAAAAAAAATATTAATATGTATAATTTCTAGATTTTTATCCACCCTAACATAAATATTAATGTGTTATTAGTTTTTATTTTAACTCACCATAACAGAAATTTCTAGATTTGTCTTTGCCCGTAACTACCTATCGCGGGAAGCTCTCCCACATCTACCCATCGCCAAGGCCTCCTAGGTAAATCACAAATAAAGGTATTATCTTAGCACCCAGTTGGGAATTGAACCTGAGATTGTGAGTTGAAGCCATACACAACCTCTTTGATTTGCCCTTGCCGTTGAGCAATCTATGGGTGAGTCATTTTGGTGTTTCTTATTGGCTATTGCTACACAAGATTATAGTTCTATCTTAATTTGAGTTCTCCTGAATTTTAGATTAAGAATTAGAGAGGGACTTGATTCTCTCAAAAGATTGGAAAATTGGTATGAGCAAAAACAAGGTAGGTTTTCTCAAATTGGTATGAGCAAATCCAAGAGAATGAACGATTGTTCGTTTGTCCTCCAAGCCATTCTAAGCAAGAACGACCCCATTCCCTCAAGACATTCATCATTTTGCCCAAACAGAGAAAAGTTTTAAAATTTTATTATGTCATGATGTCACCAGTCAGTTGAACCGCCCAACCCAGGACTGGCCCCTTGATTAGGTCAAGGCCCGATTCGAGTGGGTCAAGGCCCGATCCGAGTATGAAAACATTGACCTAACCATTAAGTTTACTGATTAAAAATTATATGAATATAATATATACAAATTATGGGTATAAAAAATTGATATGATTCTAACTTTTTGTCGCCGTATTATTCATCATCGTTAATCAATCACTTCAATATACATTCATTTTAAATCACATTTTGTCAAAATTTATACGTGTATTATTATTTACGATATCCCGAACTCAAGAATATTCCTTGTTCGGACCGCGCAGTAAGTAAATGTGAAACATGAAGATAATTTGTTATTCATGACCCATGGACTTACATGATTTGACAAAAATATGATCCATGTGAAATTAATTAAACTTGTTTTTGGTCTACCAAATTAGACAAGAATGGAATACTTGAGTTTATGTTCTCGGCTCATATCTTATGCAGTTCAGGGTTACTGATCATTGATACTAAAAAATCTGTTCCGTGTCTATTTTATCTCGATCCATGATTTAAATAAGTCATGTACACATTCTTGTACATGTTTCTCAGCGTTGAGATCATTTCAACGAGCAGGCGAATTTGAGACGATTGAGATTGGTTGTAATCTTGTATGGGCTTAAGGGATAACAAAGTTGTAAATGGGCCTATTGTGAAGCCCATCTATCTGTTATGGGCTTGTTATGGTCCATGATCTCTCAGCAAGGTAGAGATGAGATTTTCCTCCAAAATGTTCATGTAGGAAATTGGATGAATGAAGTTCCACTAAATTTCTCTTTGGTCTCCTTCATGTTTAGACATATAAAAGACTACCTATTAACCTATCGGGTAACCCAGATGATTAGAGCGAATTGAGGATACTATGAATAGGTATACGATTTCAAGTTTGATTCCTCATCTGAGTATTCTCCATTTAAGCGGGAGGCTATGGTGGTGGATTGCTGTGTTAATCTTCTTCAAGCATTAACAAAATAAAAAAAAATATTACTTATTTAAAGAAATGATCCAAATTTTTATTTTGTAAATCATAGTTAATTTCTTATCAACTATTAAATGGTTGATGGTTTTGTGACAATATTTTTGGTCCAACTTCAAAATATTTTCAAATTACAATAAAAATATGTTCTTTAATTTCATGCTGAATTAGTCCACAAGATAGTTGATAAATTAAGTTTTTTCTTTTTTTTTGGTCAACTTGTTTTACTTTTGCCCCTTATTTAATACAAGAGAATTAAATTTATTGATGAGTACTTTTAAATCCCCTAATGAATACCCTATATCTATAAACCCTCTTTAGTTTTCTATATGACTCTCGACACCTTCAGTTTTGTCAAATGTTAATATTTTATCATCCGTTTTGACAATAGATTGGTGAAAGAATGAATGGAGCCCCGCTCTTCCTTCCCCCACCCTAGTTTGAGGCCGCCGTTAGACAATAGGCATCAAGGTAATTTATCACAAGTTGATACTTGATAGGGGTAAAAAAAATAATAAAAAATAAAAAAGAAAAAAAAAAAAAAAAAAAAAAAAAAAAAAGGAATAAAAGTAATATCCAAAACAAGAGGGGGTTTATTGATAAAGGCTAATACCTAAGAGAATTTAGATGAATTATCCTTAATTATATTTCTATTAAGATAATCAAATATAATTAATCGTTAATCTGGGGTCACCACTTCTGCTTCGACTAATTGTACATTTCTGACTGATTTACCCTTCTTCACAAATAAACCGCCAAAAGTCTGTTACGTACAAGCAAGAGAAGCGCCAAAACAGTGCTTCGCAATTTAAACGAGACCCACGTTCTCTGTTCCTCGCGTGGGTGCTGATCAATTCCTGGCAAGTTCCTGCTTCACTCGTTGAAGCATAAAAACGAGGATGAGTACCCAGTCTTCGTTTCAATTTCAGTCGTTTAGTGGAAGTCAAGAAAATTTTGCATTTCTTTATTTGCGTTTATGCCCCAACAGTCACCCTGTCTTGGTGACTTTCACAGAACCTTCTCTTTCTCTAGTCTACTCTTTGAAACTACCGCCAAATTTACTAGAGTTTGGTTTGGTGTTTGACCGCCTCTTTTTCTTTCGTTGTTTGCTTCTCTCTATTTTTCTTCAAGGGAACAAAACTAACGAACTATGTTTTGGTTTATGCTGTGAGATTCTTGATTGATATATGTGCCTTTGGTTCTTGGGTTCTTTGAAATAATTGGTTTTGGTTCATGGGTGTATGAGATTAGTGATTTTTGGTTTATGGGTATGTGGAAATAGTTGATTTTGTTGGTGGGTTACTAGAGGATTGTTTGTGTTTGATAGGTTTGTGAATTTGGGGTTCTGGTTTTGAGTTGAGATTTAGGAGATGACTGGGCTTTTGAGAAAAATTATGCCTGTTGTGCCATCCAGCCAATTAAAAAAAGTACTCCTGTAGGTAGAAAACCATCAAGGAAGCTGAAATTAAGCTCTGAGTCGTTGATTTCTAGCAGTTCACTGACCGGCTCTGGTGCGTCCTTGACTGATCCTAATATTTCCCGTGTAGTACCAACTCAGGTGGATAGCAATGGTGCATCTGGACGCTTAACTGGTAATTACTGTAAGGTCAAGTCATCTGAGGGTAGGAGAAGTTCAGGTAGATTGAAAAGTCTTGATAGTCAATGTAATTCTTGTGAAAGTTTGGATTGTGTGATTGGTGTTGAGAGCACGCCCAAATTATCTGGTCTAATAGGAGCTTCTGGTAAACTAGAATGTCCTGATTGTCATGATAATATGCATTTAAGTGTAGAATTACCTGATGATAACAGGGGAGAGGCAGATGTAGGATTTCAAAATTATATGAATCCTGGCAATTCAGAATCAACAGGATCAGGTTTAAGTTCACACGCTGTTTCGTCTGAAGCATTTTCTTGCAAAGAGGAGGATTTGAATGAAGAAGAAACTCCTTGCCA